GAGACCCCAGATAACCGAAGACGAGAAAACGGTGCGACCGTTGGGGCAGGAGAAGCCATTGGGTTGGTCCTCGGTGCAGATACCGTCAACATTGCCAAGCATCCAAAGCGTGACACCTGTCTGGGTCAGTGCTCCAAGAATCGTTGCAAGACCTTGGGCAAAGAAGAGGGTCGTGGGCGGGATCTTGAGGTAGTGACCGAGCTTCATATCGGCCGCGAAGTATAGACCTTGACCGACGACATCCGTGCTGAGGATCTTGAAGAGGATGTTGGCAATCGGTTTGTCCTGGAACATGTATCCTCCGATGAACTCGGATAGCACGTTCAGCTGATTGGCGTCCACGTTCGTGACGCCCTGGATCATGCCGCAGGGGACCATGTAGACTGCAGGAATGATGAAGGCGAGGATGACTCCCCACCACGGGAGACCAGTGTCGTAGCCCTCTGCGGTACCGACTGCCATGCCGAAGACGACCAGTAGAATGACCATCCACCACCACCACTTGACAGTCTTGTATGACTGCATCAGGCGCGCATGGATGTCGAGTTTCAACGTTCCCTTCATGGCATGCACGATTTCATCGAAGTGAAAGAAGTAGACATGGGAAAGAACACTATCGTGACAAAGTTAGACCAGAATTTGGTAGTCGACATGGCTTAACACCTACCTCGTAATTGAAGCAAAAGATAGGCCGTACACAAAGGCGAACGTGGCTGGCAGATACGGGGGAGAGTACGAAGAGTACTTTTGCTGATCGAATTCGTTGTTCGTGAGAACCTCCGTCACGTTGTAAAGGCTGCCGAATCGATCGTAGACGTCGGCTGTGCAGAATGGCATGTAGGAGGTGAACCAGGTGTTGGTGTAGTAGATCGCCGGCGTGATGATCCAGAAGAAGAACGCAAAGCCAAAGAAGACGTTCAGCGCGGCCCAGTGAGGACTGAGAAGCGGGTTCGTATTGTACGCAATCATAGACCAGTCGAAAGTCAGAGGGAAGAGGCCCATGCCAGTGACCATGCCAAAGACTTGGTTGACCGCCAGGTTGTTCGGCGCAATCCAGCAGATCCAGGTGAAGTAGCTAAGGCCCGTGAAGATGAGACCCGGGAACCAGTACCAGACGAAAGCGCATCCACCCACAATCATGAAGAACTTGATGCGGGTGATTCTCCATCCGTCAGCAATGGCGTTGGCTCGAGAGTGCAGCGAGCTGAGGAGGGCGACATTGCTAAGCACACCAGGCCAGATCATGCTGGCGGGCTTGACGAGCCACGGCATAGCGAGACCTGCGACGGCGTATCCGCTAAGCTGGCAACACAGAACAACGAGTACGGAGAATCCTGGCGGAATGTAGAAGCCATACAGCCTGGCTGCTTGAATGAGGTTGGTCGCATCAGCTGAGCCGAAGCCAAACGAGACGTTGGACATGATTGTCACGAGGGCATGCTCCTTGATGTTGAAGTGCCGGTCGGGGTTGAAACGGCTGATGGGGAGAATCTTGGCGAGCGCGACGCCGATGGGGAATGCAATCAGTTCTGCGACGAGAGATACGATGTGAACACCGGGGTATCTCAATGAAAAGAACTGGTTCACGCCGGCGCCAAGGAAGACAAAGACCTTTGCTGTCAGTTAGCATTGAGTTCCTGTATGAGTCGGATCGCCAATTGCATACAATTCCAAGGAACCAGGCTCGGAATGTGTTGACGGGGATCGCAGTATCGTCCGTCTCCGGCACAACGGCTCTGACCTGGGGGAAAGGCGACGTATCGGCATCGTAGTCCCCCTCACCCTCCTCGTCGAGCACCCGCTGCATATCAACCTCCAACTCCGCGAGATGTCCATTTTCGAGTTCGATGTCCTGGCCGTGGAGGTTATGCGCCGTCTTGATGTTGAGCTTCTCTCCCTGCCCCAGTGACTTTTCAGGGTCCGCATACTCTGGCGGCGTATGGCTGATGTCGGTAGCCATCTTGTTGAAGGCTCGGGTTTGCGACGATGCGATGGCGGCGGAAACAAGCAAACGCCCAGGAGTGCCAAGAAAGTAGCGCCCGGCGCGGCATCGTGGCTATTATGAAGGGCGGATGCTGGTTACACTAATGTAAGTATGAAGGGCACAGAGTCGCATCGACTGAGAGGAAGCGATATGGTCCGATACGCTATGCGCCCGACGCGTACGACAATCTCCTTGACATCTTCTCCTGCTTATCATTTCGCCCCTGGTCGGTGGTCAGCCGATGATAGGATTCTTAAAAAGTGCCATTGGGGACTTTGTAAAGTTCCCCAGATTACACGTTCGTCCACTCATGTTGGCTGTTCACCCACAACCATCACGAATCGTAATGACTCTCCCATTTCCCCCAACCGTGGCTCCGGAACTACGGCATTGGCCAATTGAGCATCTTGGCGTTATCTTGGCTCCATCTGCCGCTGCGGGGATCCGCCGTCTGCTTCTGGAAGGCGACCAGGGATTCCTTTCTTAGCGGTCGGGTCCGGCACCACGGGATGAGGGAGGCAGTCGGGAAACCTCGATAAGTTTGCCGTACTTCCGCGGTCTCCTTTTCCCGAGCGATAAGACTAGCTGTGATCAATTGACCTAGAACGCGGCCATGACGCGGTTTAAGCTCGGAAACATCTGCCCTTGGTCTACCTGAACTCTGTTGGTTCCTGGAATGGCGGGGTCATCCTCTCAAGTGTCAATCCGTCAAGCTGTCACGCAAAATAGAGTTGTCGCCATTGGGCGCTCATGAACAATAGTGAGCGCTGCATGCTTACCCGTCGTTAGATGCTGACATCAGTCTTCGTGACCTGACTAGGGGCACTGAGTCTCCAAGCAGCAGGTTAAGCTTATCCTCTCTCTCGACCAGCCGTCTTGTCTGCAATCAGCTTACCTGTCCTCGAGAAAAGCCAAGTGTAACAAAGTGCCTTTGAGTGGGAAAGCCCCTTGCTGCCAACTTACCTTGGCCATTGATGTTTGTTCTAGTTGATATCGCGAATAGTAGATAACCATTAGTCGGGATGTCCTCACTTGCATCGTTTGCGCAATTGGCTGTGTGCATAGGAACTGCAACAGATTGACTCAAGGCCTCAGAGTTGATACACCAACTTCTCGCCGGAGATTACCCCATCCCGATACACTTGGAATCCTTTGTCTACACCATCAAGACCCCCAGAGATGGCCTTCGGCTTGTTGGGCTTCAACTTCCCGGCCTCTACCCATCCCGGGAGCTTTTCATAAAACTCGGTGCCGAGTTTGTGGTCCTCCTCGCTAGCCTAAGCCCCAGTCAGTGACCACTCTACCAGGAGTCCTGCAACGACTGTAACTTACCGGCCATCTAAACTGAGCATACTGATGATCCTTTAAGAACGCAGTCCAGACCAAGACGTCGGTCACAGTCGTCTGCTTCGAAACATTTTCAGTGTTGGCCTTCCCCGGGCGCACGGTGCAGAGCCGCCCGCCGCTCTCATCGATGGCTTGGGATGCCTGGCCGGAGGAGGACGTGTTGCCGATGGTGTCAAAGACATATTTGAGGCCAGGCGTCGTGTTTCTGATGGACTCAATGACGTCGCCATCGCGGTAGCTGAAGACATGCTTCGCGCCTAGGGACCTGACCCAATCGAAGTGATGAGGGCTGCACGTCGTGATTACTTTGAGGCCTTGCATCGCTGCTATCTGGATGGCGTACAAGCCGACGCTCGCTGGGAAGGGAATTAGCAAGGGACCGCACGTGTTCAGCGCGTGTCGTGGAGCAGCTTACAGCTACCACCCCAAATAAGGACCGCTGTCTCCGATCCGCTCTCTCGAGGAATAGCGAGGCATGCTTTGGAGAACAGGGCTAGCTCAGCCGTCATGGAAGCTAGGGGTATTGTAGCAGCCTCCTGCAGGCTTATGTTCTTGGGGACTCGGAAGCTGATGTTGTCGTCCGCGAGGGTGTACTCGCTATAGCCGCCAAGACCCTTGATTTCACCTGGCGATGTGTCAGAACTTGTTCGTAGATCTCGGCTAACCAAGGATTCCTGACCTCCCCAAATTAGGCCAGCAACAGTGTCGCCCTTGGACAGCTTGCTACACTTGTCGCCAACCGCTTCGACTGTCCCCACAAAGTCGCACCCAAGGACGGCGCCGTCACCGAATGCATTGCCGTCAAGAGATTGAACTGTGAACCAAAGTTAGGAAACGATAGTGCGTTTATCTCTTGATCGAGACTACCAACGGGTCTAACCTACCGTCGGTCGGGTTTTGTGCAATATGTGACACTTTAACGAGAGCTTGATGCGGGGCCGGTTCAGGGATCGGAACTTGCTTCCTGACCATCTTCGGCGACCCGCCGCCGCCGGCCGAAGATTCGGTCACCAGAGCTTGCATTTGTTGTCCGGCCATGTTCACTGGTATCAGAAGATATGCCCACGATGTCCCAAAGTCATGAGTCTTTCTGCGAGGATCGAATATTGACTTGAAGCACGTCAGCCTCAGCGGGCACGAATTATTGAGGCAATAGTAGCTGTCTTTTCCTCTTGCTTAATCAGCCTGCAAGCGCCGTGGAAGTTGGAACTTGGCCCCTAAGGAAACTAAATTCCCCCTCAAAACAGTGCACTAATATTAATAATAGGGGCCCCTTCATGACGTAGCGGTGATGGGGAATATCGTCAAAGAAATACCCCCGTCTTACTACAAAAGTTGAAGGCGATGATGCTGACATGAATTGGCCAAGCACATACCACAACAAAGGAGGTATCCCGCATCTTCAATAAGAGCGTATGCATCCTAGATCAGTGCGGATAAGGTCCAGCTTCATTCATGTCTATTGAAGTTTCCAATTTATTAGCATCAATAATCGAATGCAAGAACCTTCTCTCACCAGCACTTTCCCACCGGCGCAACCCCGCTACATTGCTCCCACATCCCTCACAGGCTGTAGACAACGGATCGCAATCCGATTGTCCATCTTGAGGCGTTGAGAGGCTCCAGTCAAAGTCTCGTGGCACTAGTCTCCTCAAGAAAGGAAACCATCCTACCCAAGACCGGGCCAGCTCTCCCGCCTCCTCAACAGCTGAAACCACATATCAGGCCTCACAACTTCAAAGTCATCCCCCAACTTCTTAACCATACTAGCAACACTGGTCGGTGTCATATCAAAAGCGCTCACAGCGCCAGCCACAAAAAGAGGCCCACGACCCCTCCAATTCTCCGAAATATTCCGCAGCGTCGCCGCACCGCTCTCCTCGTTCCCGATACTCACCATGTTTGTCACCGGGAAGCCTTCTGTAACATTCACCTGCAGCGCATCTACCGTCGAAACAAATGACCCGTAGTAGATGCCCCGCAAATTCTTTCTCCCCACGGCATTGCGAAAGTCGAGAGTTAGCCCAGGTGTGAGCGGGTTATCAGTGGCGTTGATGCGGTCGTACACGAACAAGACCTCGTCTGTCTGTGTCGCTCGCATATACTCGCCGCTCTGAGTCAAGAATGTGGAGAGAGCCCGTCTTGGCCAGACACCCGGATACGTATACCCTGCGCCGTCGGGCCCGGCAATCAGCAGGTCATTCTCCGTGGATGTCCTTTGATAATACGACAAGATGCCCGGGCCGATATCACGAAGCAATGGGCTAATAGTCCAGCCAAGCGGGACTGATCCCCTCGCGGAGTCGTTCCAGTGCTGAAACATGCTCCGCTGGTCGTACTGTATGTTGTCGCCTTCGAGGTAGACGAGAGACAGAAAGACTTTAGGGGTCTTTTTCGGAGGGGGCGGAGGAGGTTGCCATGGTGGTCCCCCCATCGTAGACTGCCGAGATTGGCTTTTGGTGTTGAATCCACTGAAGATGGTGGGGTTGAAGTAGAAGTCCGTGGCGGCGACGTATAAGCCGTTCCTTGCGAGTTGCGTGACACCGGTCATCTCATCGCCGTTTGGAAACCAGCCGAGGTAGGCCGCATTGGGCTGGAATTGGCGAAGGAGTTTGTCGAGCAGCGCGGCTTCACGCGGTCTATTACTGTCCAACCACATGCAGGGAGCCGCCGTGCTGACGATGTAGTCGCGGAAGATGGAGTTGACCTTGTAGTAGCCCGGTCGCGCCGACGTTGCCGAAACGAGAAACTGATTCCACATGGACAGAGTGAGGGTTAGTTGAGTTGTCTGAGGTGGAACGTCAAATTTGTAAATCATTGCGGATGCGCCGTCTGCGAAGCGCCAGCCTCCTGGGTAGTCTGCCAGGTGCGAGCCGCCGTCATCGAACAGGAAGGAGTCTTCTTCTTCTTCACCGGGAGTGAAGTCTGCTATGGTTTTGTTTCCGTCGCCAGTCACCTTGACGCGGTAGACAGAAGGACCATAGCCGTCTGCAGGGAAAGCGTCTGTGATATTGACATAGACCGTCCCGTTGCCATTAATAAATGACGACAAATCTGCAGTGTATGTGCCGTTGTTCGAAGAGTCTGTGACGGACGAGTTCGCCTTTAAAAGTGTGGTCCAGGTCCTATTGGCATACAATAGGGTCGAAAGTGGCTTGATAGCCGTGATGATGCGGTCAGTAACCTTGGGCCACACCTCCCGGGCTGCATGATCGTAAAGCTCGAATTTGTTCTTGAACCGGCCTCGCAAGTCTTCCGTGATGGAGATGTTGAAGCGTCGGGCCAGTTCTTCAGTCGCCAGGACAGCGCCATGAAGACCGGCAAGTGTTGAAGCCAGATTAATCGTGTCTGGCAATTTCGTGTCGTAGATAATGGCACCCCGAATCTCAGACTTGTACTTATCAATCAGTTGTAGAGGACTGCTCGTCGTATCGGCGCTACGATATCCTTCAGTCTCAAGGTGCCGCAGCCAGGCCTCGTTGACCTCGTCATCCGGAAAGGCAGAATCCTGCGACCAATAAAGGTACAGTCGTGGTTGCCGTCTGTTGACCAGTCCTTGCAGCGAGACTAAGAATATCTGCTCATCACCAGAAAGTGCAGTGAGCTTGGCATAGTCTATCTCCTTCGCAATCTCTGGAAACAATGGCAGGGCTCTATTACCTGGCCAATCAAGACCTGAGACGGAAGGTGAACAGAAACAAAGCGGACTTAATAGGGCGATCGGCAGCAGAAATAGATAGCGCATCTTGACTTGTGCTGTTGACAGCGCCCTGCTGCCTGCCATTTTCCAGTCAACAAAGAGGTACTGTTTCCTCCCACCGAAAGTCTTTCTATTTCATTTAAAGAACAATCCGACCATTGGCCTCGCCTAAATGAGACAGCCAGGCGAATGAGGCGAGCGAAGCGGGGGTTGGAGATTGGACGAAGGTCTGCAACATGATTCTAAGCTTAACTTTGTTTCCATGACTAGCTTGTTTCCTTGGCAGAACACCGGAAGATTGTCGAGAAGCTCACTTCACTCGCGGTTTAGCCTTACATGACCTAATGATCCAAGCTATTCCAGTTAATACAGCAATATCTATGCACTGGCATTCTAGCACCGTGCTAGGTCCGATTAGAGATGAGCGCCACCACTTGAAGACACACGAGAATGACGCTCCTCAGCCGATCATCTGAACTCTTGCCACTTTCCACATCTCGTCCTTCTCAATAGGAATGCATTAGTTGCTACTATTATCTATACTAGTGAGGGTATGAGCCATTCGTAGACTAGAAGAAACCTTTTCTGATTCCATGTGCTCTTGACATCCGAGCTTCACACTGTTGCCATTCTCAACGGCACAGTCAAACATGCCGGACGACACATGAGTCTGTGGAAAGATGGTTCAGCAGCCAAAATCTTTCAGCTTGCCATACCCCAGCGGGGAGCGTTGATGATGACGCCTGCGAGACATCCAGAGATGATACCAGCGGTAGGCAGCGTGATAATCCAACCCATGTAGATCCAGCCAACCATACGCCAGTTGATTGATCGCCAAGTGCCGGAGCAAAGGCCGACACCTACGGTCGCACCAGTGATGCACTGTGTAGTAGATACAGGAAGTTCTGTATCACAGTCAGCGATGCTTGAACATGGTCAAGATGAGTTCGTTGACTTACTGAGACGTGTAGCCAAGATAATTGTGCAAGCAGCACCCAACTCCATGGAGAAACCACGGGCGGGAGAGTGAAGGGTCAAGCGGTTGCCGAGGTTGCGCATAATGTTGTATCCGTACGTCCAGATACCAAGAGCGATACCAGCACCGCCGAAGCAGAGAATCCAGATTGGAACCTCAGATTTGCTGCCAGAGAGAACGCCAGTGTTCCAAATTTGAAAGATGGTAGCGTAGGGTCCAATGGCATTGGCAACGTCGTTGGCGCCGTGCGTGAACGAGGCGGTGCATGCAGTCATGACTTGCATGAACGAGTACAGGAATTCAGCCTTGTTGTCGTAGTGTTGGACACGGGCGTGCATCTCCTCCAAATCGCCAGTGAGCACACTCTCCTTCTTTTGCATGTTGATAATGTCCTGATCGACACCAGACAGGAAGACTTTCTTTACCATCCAGAAAAGAACGTCGCCGTTGTGCCAGGGACCTTCGGGACGGGGGCCAACGATGGGCTTGTGGACGTAGTCCTTACGGGGAATATTGGTCGCAGGGGAGTCGGTGGATCCTTGGACGACCTTCTTCTCGCCATCAGCAGAGCCAGTCTCGATGTCGTTGCTAGGGCTTCGAACAACACCACCGCTGCGAGCAACCTCTAGCTCCTCTTTGGTCATGTGCCCGGCATAGAAGTCGCGGATTCCACCGCCGTAGCCTTCGGGCTGAACAGGTGGCTCGGGACGGCGGAGCAGAAGCGGGCCCAGGGCAATGTGATACCAACGCAGTTGCCAATCGTCCTTGACTACCACACGATAGAGCCAGGGGAGAAAGAATATTGTGATGAGGAGAGCCCAGGCGGCACCAACACCGATGATCATTCCGGCAGTTTCGGCATCGTTGAAAGTAACTTTGATAGACCCACCCTTCCAAACAATCAGCATGGTCAAGAGGGAAGCGGTAATACCAAAGTACACAGGAACGAGAGCCAGTCCCTTCATGACTGGGTTCTTCCGCAACATGACGCCGTATTTGGTAATGGTGAAGATGATGGCTGCGAATGCACCCGAGATACCAGGAGCGATGATCCATGCAAGGAAGACTGAAACTACGCCAGAGTCGATGCCGCCGCTAGGGGAGACCCAATGAATGTTGTCGGCACCAATAAGTGCGATACCCATGCCAATGACGCCTCCCATGATGGAGTGAGTAGTTGATACCGGGAGACCGATCTTGGTGCAAAAGGTAAGGTAAATCGAGGAAGCCACAATCGCACAGGTCATTCCAAGCATGAGGAGAGCCGGGTCGTTCTCGAATAGGTCGATATCCACTGCGTCAGATGATCAGCCTGGGCGTCATTGTTAATCAAAAGAACAGATATCCTACCAATCTTCGTTCGAATGGTGTCTGCGACACGGGCGCCGACACCAACCGAGCCGGCGAACTCGAGGATGGATCCGAGGGTCATAGCTTGAATGTAAGAAATAGATCGTGACGAGACCGAGGTTGCCCATGAATTGGCAACATCATTGGCACCTACCAGTACCCAAGAGTCAGCTTGGACATGGCTAGACAAACAGATTTCTAATTTTGGAGTTACGTACCAATGTTCCACGCATCAAGGAATGCGAAGATGGTGCCAATGGCGAAAATGTAGTCATACTGATGAAGAGGCATCTCGAGTTTCTTTTGCACAGGTTGTGCAACGCCTGATGTCCGGGAAAGATGAAGATGATCGATATGATGTTTCCAACTGAAGACTAGGTCAACGTGCCTCAAAGGATGGTAAGGTATGATGGATGGAATACCCTGGCTTTGACGCGGGTAGCAAGGTCGGAGAGAGAAGGATGTCCGAGCAGTGTAGGAGTAGGAAGGTAGACTTTGGGATCGACTCTGGCATATATACCAGATAGCGGAATAGCCAAGACGTTGCTTCTGCGCAATCCATCCATGTCCACCTGCTAGGATGTACATGTGCCCCCTTCCCGCCGGGGGACTCTCGGTGTGTGATGCCCGGACCTAGACGAGGAAGTGGCTACACGCCATCAGCAGAGGCAACACAGGTGAGGCACATTCGATTGTTAGAGACGTACCGACCCAACCCACCCAATAGTACTCGCCACACCCGCAATCTGCAATGTTACCGGCATGGTTCATCTGTGGATTGGTCCCTGTAGCATGTAGCCATGCTGTCTTGCTTGGTTGCAGAGTTCGCTGCAGCCAATTCTATGTCAGAGGTCCCATTTCCACAGAGAAGAGAAGCATTTGGTGTGTGTGAATCTGACGAAATCTATAGTTGCCACTCATCATTATCAGAATGACATTCGGTGCAAAGAAGACTTTCATCGGCGGGATTTCGAAGGTTTCTGAATTATTGCGGCTCGAACGCCTTTCTGCACAGGTTTCCGCAGGCCCCTTCGGCACAAAAAGCCACGTTGAACACCCCAATGAGGGGGAGAAAGTAGATGCCAAGTTCAACCTACTGGAGAGGCTGGCTGACATGAACCTGCATGGGGCGGGATGGATGGGTATCGAAAGGCTGAATAAGGAAGTCTAGAAGTAGCAAGGCATGTTCTGAGGCGTCCCACGTGTCGTAAACAACGTCGCATATTTGGCGGAACTTGAGCTTTTCGGAGGATATCGGCCTCGCGGGGATACTTCTCGAGGCGATGGAGTGGGAGCGTGAAGAGGGAATCCACAAATCCATCCAAGAAAATCCTGCGTGGTCAAGGGCAGCCAACGGAATCGGTAACAGTCGGGCATTGGCTTTTTCTCGCCGAGCCCCCAGTGAAGATGGCGCCTGAAACTTGAAGAAGGGCAAAGTCGAATGTTGGACGTTGAAGCTGCCGCTATACAAACGGACGATGTCAGGTCGTCAAGGGGGGAAGGAGATACATCCTCGCCGCATCCTTCCTAAAGCATCGACCGAGATCCAGTTGTGTGGCGCACCCGAAGCGACTTGGCGCGGTCAAGCGCCAAGATACATGCTCTCAGGAAGCGCCAAGCGCCAAGCGCTGCTGGCAGGAGCATGGCGGCCCCACTTCCGACTTCGCAACTGCCGAATCACCAGTCCCGAATCCACCACGTGCTGGGTCCCGTACTTTTCTGTGGATTTTCCCCGGCTGCATCCCCAGAGCTTCTCATCTTCAACATCGCAACTGAGTCGCCAGCACCATCAGACCTGTTCTTCTTTGACAGCGTATTTTTTCTATAAATCCTGTGCCCGCCGCCAAGCAGCCAAGGGGCCAAGAACACCAACACCTTTGGAACGGCTTCGCCAGTCAACCGTATCCCATCAAATGTCAGCGCCCAACTTCGCCCACGCCCCGTATCGGCCCCTTGGCCAAATAGACACGATCAACTGACTGCCATAACTGGCTCTTCTCAAGAGCTCCTCCACTCTAATGTTTCCTGATGCAGCTCAATCTCCGGCCTTCCCTCACTTGCGCTCTTCCGCCAGCAGCAATCTCCCAATCCACTTCCTCAGGTCTAACGCTGGGATCCCAACCGACTGGCTAGACAGTGTTTTACGAGCCATACGTGCCTTAATCCGTAGCGATTTGTCAACCAACTAGCCAACATCCAATACCGCTTACATGTGGCTTTTGCGAATAAGTCCGGCAGCCTGGTGTTGGCTGTCACACGCTATCCCCTGGCCAAGAAACCTAAGAATGACCCAAAGTGAGTGATCACCTTTCCATCAACGAATCACACTTGCGGCCCGAGGCTCGTGGTCTCTCCTCCACAGCCTGTAGTCTTTAGCTGTGCTTGTTGGTCGGCAAGCCCTGTGTAGTTATGTAGATCATTCAAGTGTTACCAACATCGCCTCATGCCGGTAGCTGGCTGCCGTTACGTTTTTTGAAACCTCATACTCTAGTGCAGGTTTTGGATTATATCTGTACAATTCGCAGCTGTATTCTCATTTGTATTGTGGGTGAGAAAATCAGCATCTTCAGTTTTACTCTAGAATAATAGGTATTTGACGCGCACACTTTGTGAAGTATCGTAAAACTTCCCTTTGATCGTTGTTAAGTTAAAGTCTACCAACAAGACTTACGCGAGAAGTCTCTTCAGGCTGTCCTTCAGCGCGCGCTCGCCTTCATCCCATCCGGACTCAACTTGGTCCTCGAAGTTGGAACCGTAGTTATTATCTCCATCCAGCAGCGCCACGGTGGAAAGGGCGGCATATGCCCTGGAGTTGAGTCTGTCCTCGACTCCCTTTTCTGTATCCTCCCGCCACAAAGCACGAGCCTCGTCTGCAAACCCGTCAAATGGCACGTCAACAGTTTCCCAACCCTCGAGACCAAGATCTTCAACCAGTGCAATCAGATGATTTGTCGATACAGTGTGGCTGGCAAAATAGGCAGCCCTGTTCTGGTATCTCTCAGGGTTAGACAACACAGCGACTAAGGCCTCGCCATTGAGTGCCCGACGACTGATGCTGCATTTCTGGTGTCCGGAACCATAGCGAGTGATGGTTCGTCGTTCTTTGTTGATCCAGAAGATTCCACGCTCGATTGTCCAGTCGTACCATGGACCAGTTATAATGGCCGTCCATGACAACGACCCGTTTGACTCGGCGACGACACATTCAAGTTCACGCTGAGCTGCCAACTTCGGACCGAAAATAAGAGCATCTTTGGCGTTGGGATGGAACGTATTGCCACTAAAGTCTGGGGTGATGATGTGCCTGACTCCGGTGGCCGAGGCTGCTTGCAGGATGTTGGTCTGATAGGATGCGGCTGCTGGATTGAAAGCCTCGACAACGGCGTCTTGACCTCCCAGAGCCTGTGTGAGAGCTTCGACATTCGAGTAGTCGGAGGATCTTACGTGCACACCGGCGGGAAGGCTCTTTTGGCTGCCGGGTCGAGTGATGCATGTCACCTCGAAATCAGCTTGCAGGAGTGCTGGGATTAAAACCTCTCCCAATGCGCCGGTTGCCTTTCAAATTGGTCAGAAATTATGAGTAAAACTGATGGTAATGATATCAGCGACTTACACCAATGACGGCAACTTGCTTGATGGCTTTCATCATGTTGGCAAGATGCAATTCAAAGTAGATAGGAGAAGAACAGATTTATCCTTAAAATTGTTGATTATGGCCACGTTTTGATCTAAGGCTTCCCATCGTTGTATTTATAACAGCTCAACATCAGTGATGTTCACATCGGTCGCCGTGATAACTCCATTGAATAGCGCAGTCCTTGGGGTATAACGTTATGGGTTCCTGAGACAGGGATGAGCTCATTGGGCCAGACAAATCACACCATAGTTGGCGAGTAAGACTTGACGAACAATAGCATAACGTTATCACCTGTCTTGCATGCCATTCCACACCCTGGGACATCCCCCCTCGACTTCGTTGTGATTCTCACGAGTGCTCGAACTTCGCCTATTCCTTCCCAGAAACGCTTCACGGCTTTTCGGTACTTACCAATCCATTTCGCTCTCTGCGGGCAGCTTCTTCCTTCTTATAAGTCCACATCGTCAACGCGGCCGCTGGCGGGAAGACGGACGAGCGGGGAGGTCAAGTTCATGGACCAGAAGAAACAGGGTAGCGCTAAGCACTTCCTCTGCCCCAGTGATCTACACAGCACTCCTTCTTGTACGCAACTGGCGTAGGGTACCCAGAGGTTGGAGGGCTTAAACCTCCTTGTTTTGGTCTTACAATCTGGGGATGCTGCAGCAGAATAATCGTGCGTCGATGGGGCTGGCATGCAGCCATGGGATGCCGCTCAAGTGTGGTGACGTCCCGGCGTTGGAGGATCCACGCTGAAAAGTAGGTACCGAGACCAGTTGGCCCACAGTGGTACAACCATGATTGAGTTCGCTTGATGTTGGCCAGAAATCATTGGCTGGCCTTTGTCATGTTTGATGTTGGTGCTGAGATTCTAAACAAGATGGGAGTACGCGCGCCAATCACGGTCACATTTCTGGAACGCGACATCTGCGGTACCCAGGTCTTGGGCCTGGAACTACTTTACAACAGATTCGTAAAAACTGGTAATGAATACCCATCATTCAGGAGGAACAATGATCAGATATGGTAAGCATTACGGTGTTAATAATGGGATCGCTGAAACAGACCACTTTATTCCAGAGAGGCATCTATTGTTGCCCTTTAGTACGCACACCATCTGGTTGAATTACATGTAAAGGAGTCCCATGAGCATCAACGCAAGCTTCTTGACCAGAAGATGCCTCTACAGCTCTGAACTTCTGAAGCTGACAGGTTTTCAGAATTTGAGCTCGCTTTTTGTCTTCAGATCTCGGTTGTAGAAGTGTCGGATGACGAGTACCGTCACTGCGGCAGCTGCTCCGAATCCAGCTGTAATGTAGTTCCCAGTCACGATGAAAGGCTGAAGGTTGGCAGGGAAAGTGAAGATGGGCACCCACGCCGTGAAAATGTAGGCGAACGCGTTCATCTGATAGTGACATTTGACGTTAGCTCAGATTTACATGCAAGTGATAGATACAAGTTGAAAATAGTAAGACAAACCATTGCAGACACATATGCCCGCTTTTCGGGGTCGTGCCGGTTTGTTTCGTTCACCCATGTCCATGTGATGCCGGCGCATGTGCTTGAAAGTGCGGTGAGGTCTTTGGAAGGGAAAAAGTAAGCAAATTGTGGTAAGTTGTGTGGCGAAATAGATTGAGAGGCTTACAATACAATGCCCATCGAGTTGCAATGTTCGCTGGATGCACAGGTGTAGCTGCCAGTGCAATGGGAAAGATGATAGCCATGGTGCTGGCGAACAACATACCGGGCCATCGAGCTGCTCCAGGCAAGCTGTCCGAAACCCATGAGTTGACAAGAGTGGCGAAAATGGAAATAATATTGATCTATTAGGAGCGTGAGCTCCGATGTGGTTGAGTAATACTTCAGGTGCTGGAAACTCACTCCAAGTGGGATGATGTTGATCTCTGCTACGGAAAATCGTGGCGGCTTTCCAGTCACGTTGTAGCTCTTGACCCAGAAGATCACTAGATTAAGTACCGACAGTAAGTGACTGCTCTCTGACGAGCAACATTATTCATGTGTCAACGTACTTGATCCTCCGGACTGGCCTAGTTGAGCAAGGAACGTAAAGAATAGCGGGACTTCATGTGTCAGCTCTCACTCAATGTTTTCGCTGGCGGCATGGATCTCTTACAGAGGTAGACGTGCCACGTCGTGTGCCATCGCTTGATATCCTTCCACTTGAACAATCCAGTGTAAGGTTTGACTTCGGTAGGCATTCTAGCGCGGGCGAGCTCGACTTCCTTCTCGGTGAAGATCCTAAGAGAATAAATCATCATATTAGTGCCGCAACGGTGTTGCCCTTCTACGGGAATGATTCAGATCGTGCATACCAGTTCGCTTTAGCCCGAGAAGGAAGCTGTGGCATGGCGAATGCCGTCCATATCGCACAAGGTAGGGATATGCACCCGCAAACACTGACCTTTCTGTCAGCATGATTTCCCCATTGACTGGGCTGTAAGAAGGGGTTTCTTTTCACTTACATATACATCCATCGCCAGCCTGGGAGACCACTCTTTCCGTCTAAGCCAGCATAGACAGCGGCCATCAGGAAGCCGGAGAAAAGTGGTCCGACAGAAGTGAATACTTGGATCAGTGTGTTGCGCCGCGCCAGTTCGTGCGGCTTGTAGTAACTAGAACATACATACATGACGGCTGGAAAGTGCCCTGCTTCAAACAGACCAACGCTGAAGCGGGGTTAGTAATTTATTGACAGATGTGAATGGCGACGGCCTGGCAATGATGCAACTTACAAGAAGCGGAACACGTAAAGTTGATTGACATCTTTGACCCCGGCAGTCGCGAATGTGAAGACTGTCCAGGCAAACTCGAGAAATGCAATGTAAAGAGGAGCATTGACCTGAGGTGTTATCAACATATGTGTAATCTTCTTGGAAAGTGGAGTGCTCAAAACTCACTCGGGTGAGAAGTAGGTTCGACGGTATCTGTCCGAACACGTATGCTGCACTCCAAATAGCGTTGGCGTAGTTGAGTTCTTTCCCGAACAACGAAAGATCCTCTTTCATTCCACTGTCTAGAGCGATATTTAGAAAAGCTCAGGAATAAGACTAGGTTCAAACACTAACTGAAAGCATTCGTGATGTTGACTTGATCAAGATAGCGACACATAACGCCGAGAGCTGATGCTGATATGAGTGTCAAATCGAGCTTGGTCAGAAACCGTGCTTCATCTTTGGGAACATCTAGTGCTAGAATGGGTAATTGAAGTCAGCAACTTGATTCTCTATCACTTCTTTCTGACTTGGTAATTCAAGCGACTTACTCGACCAGAAGAATGATCTCCACGTCCTCTTGGAGTCCACGTAGACTGACCTCTCGGTATCTACATGATAAGGGACTTTGACTCCATCATGAGCTTCGTTTTCGCTTTCGCCGATGACGAAGGCATCTTTGGGACTCTTTTCGTCAGGAAGCGACATTGTATGCAGACGAGAGATGGAACGTGAGACTAAATGTGCCGTAAGGCATGTACCTGCACTCTCTACTTTTTCGCATCGGAAATCTGTGAGCTTATCTACAAGCCCAGTGTCTGTGACTCCTTGTTCAGATCCTGTGGCTCGGAAGTCGGGTTGATTGTCGTCTTCGGCGGGTCCCATGGCGACATCGACAGTCAAGTCAGAGTGCGTCTACTAGTCATGATATGTAACGCCACAGAACCTCCGTTTACCTCCCAGTTATCGGAAGACCAATGAGTAGCCAAGGTTCCGGTGCACCATTTCGATAAGGCAAACGCCTCTTTAGGAGCCACCGATGTCGGAAACATGGGTTGGATTGTTTCTTTTGCTAGGGTACCTACAATCAGTGTGCAGGTGCAAGTCCGTAAACACCAATGATATCGGCGAAAGGCAGGCATACAATGGCGTGCTTGATATTTCGGCAAAACTCCGCGTTTATTAATCGCGAAATGCTTGAACAAGTATTGAACTGGGCTTGAGAGGGCATTTCCCACGATATTACTCGAACGGAATAGGATCTTCTTGGCTTGAATCGTTCAAAATTTACACCATATCTTGTACGTGCAAAGGCTTGTATTCGTTCCTTACCTTATGTACTGCGAGGCAGTGAACATGGCGTCAATGCCCTTATTAACAAACGCCACAAGCCAACATAGACATTCGACCATGCGTGCTCTCAGTACTATGGGAGCTTGCTAACTGAGGTTATTCGAAATACGATTTGGTACTTTCCAAAGTCCCATTCCGATCACTATGACCGTTCCTCTTGATCGAAGCGATCAACTGTATGGGAATATTCTGTTAGTCTTTTGAACTACAAACATGTCCATGAGACTTGTCCGTAGTTGAATACATAATGTGATTCCTGTGCTGAGTTGTATTCTCATACTATTTCATTCCAATGCTGCGTTATTGTGCTAAGTCAATAGACATTGAAACAATGACCACCGCCTCACACCGGTCCCTCCGTACTTCATCTGATCTTCTAACGATTCAGCATGCCATTAGCGAATCAGACTGGGCTCTTACCGGATCATTTGATACGATACCGAACACGAGCTCGTGGCGCTGTACGGTACAATGCTTGATGTTGGAAAGCTTAAGCTTTATGATTTCAACGCGGGGTTGACAAGGTGAACTTTACCCCCTCCCGATAGATTGAAAGTTGCAGTAGCTCCACGAGTGTCTGAGCATAGTCGCAGAAGCTCCGCGCCTTTAAAAAGCCACCCAGCGATGTTCGTTGGGGTTGCGTGCTTTTCATCTCGCTTGACCCGTCCAGTAGATTAGCCCCTTCCGCTTGTGCAGCTATTCACAACTTGTTCACATCCGCACGTAAACCATCATGAACAAAATGAGCCTATCACCGGCCTGGCAAACCTTAGGGGCAGGCTGTCTACTAGCTACTCTCTACTTTGTTTACTCCTTGTACAACGCCCGCAACCTTTTCAGGTCACTTCAGCGTCAAGGGTTGCCAATGCCCCCTCACGATCCGATCTGGGGCCATCTCAAACTAATCGGAAGGATCCTGAAAGATTTACCACCTGACATCATGCCGTCGGCAGCACTGGCCCATGAAATTCGCTTGCGTTATCCACATCTCGATCAGGCCTTCTATTTGGACCAGTGGCCCTTTTTTAAGCCTATGCTGGTCGTTCTGTCACCAGATGGGGCTCGTCAGGTGGCACAAGGTCAATCTCTCCCGAAAGAGCCGGGCCAGCGAGAGTTCCTGAAGCCGCTCACAGGTGGTTACGATCTGGATACTATGGAAGGAGACGAATGGAAATTCTGGCACAACGTCTTCAGCCCTGGCTTTCGAGTCGCGAATATCGCCGGACTGGTGCCCAGTTTGGTTGAGATAGCTGGGGTCTTCTGTGATCGTCTACGCCGGTGTGTAAACAAGAACGAGTTGGTTTCTCTGAGTCCGATGGCTCTCGACCTTACCATGGACTTTTCAAGCAAGGCTATCATGGGCCATGATATGCATTGTCAGGCAGGCTACAACCTTTTTGCCGCCGCGATGGCTTCGCAGCTCAGCTGGCTGCATTATCGCGGCACTTCGCTACTAAGGGATATTAACTTCATCAGGCCCTTTGTACAATGCTACAATACTTGGCGGATGGATTCGTACATCAAGAAAGTACTAAAGGAGAACTCAGAAGCTGCCGAGAGCAGACAAACAAACTCGATCTCGATACTGGATGCCGCCAATGCACCACAAGACCAAGGCCACCTGCGAATACTTCCCGATGTTATTCGGTCACAGATTAAGTTTATGATGCTTGCAGGTTATGACACAACCGGGTCATCGATCGTTTTCATGACCAACCTCCTGTCGCAGCACCCAGAAGTACTGGCACGCGTTCGGGTTGAGCACGACAATGTCTTTGGCTCCGACTTGAAGGCAACAGCGGGCCTAATAGCCTCTCAGCCGAAGCTGCTTAATCAGCTCCCGTACACGACTGCCGTCATCAAAGAGTCCTTGCGCATTTACCCTCCCGGAGCAACTCAGAGACTGGGCAATCGAGATTTCAATGTCTTCATTCAGGCCTTCTCTGATACTTCAGAGACTGATACGAGGGAGAAACCTGTAGTAGCTCTGAGGTCACTTCCAACGGAAAGATGCAATGTCTATGTCAGCCACTACGCAATCCATCATAACCCACGGTACTGGTTTCGCTCAAGCGAGTTCCTCCCAGACCGTTGGTTGGTGAAGGAAAGAGATGACCCTCTGCAACCTCCTGCCAATGGTTGGCGTCCCTTCGAGAGAGGACCCAGGAGTTGCATAGGGCAAGAGATGGCTTTGGCTGAGATCAAGATGGTGTGTGCTCTGACTGCGAGAGAATTTGATTTCAAACCTGCGTATGAAGAGACCGGGCAAACAGAGAAGTATCATGGGGATCCTGTGTATTTGGTGAGTCGCGGGGGAGCAGCCAATCCGAGTCGCTTCTTTCCTTGTCGTGTGAGCTATGCGAAGAGAACATGAAGTCAGGTCTTGCAACGCGAGATGGCTCAATCGGACTTCCTGGTTAATTTCCTTCAATCAGGCGGATGGGGACGTCGTAGAAATTGCAAGATCGGTTCAGAGGTCAGATCCCACTATGTCAATTACAGAATTTGAATAGAAGGGCAACACTCATTGATATGGCGGTCGATTTCCAGGCTATCAGTGTGCGATGGAAAGAGCTTCTCATCGGTAGACTAATATTTCCCCAACTCCAAGCTCAGAGTAGCTAATCTACGTTCATCACTTGCTGTCAGCTTGGTATGCTCTAGCCTTGTTACTCTTCTCCCAAGGATTTTGCAGCCGCGTCTTCCTGACATCACCTCGCTGCCAAGAAACGAAGTCATGGTATCCAAAATGTTTGGGGTAGTCCAAAGGCTTGAGCCTGGCGGATGGCCCAAGGAATCTCCCGACGACGGTGTTATTGAGCGCCTTTCCAGCAGCTCCCTTGGCTGTCTCTGCCTTTTCCTTGAACCATTGTCCCCAGGTCTGCTTCTCTTCAGGCTGCTTAGCTTTGATCTCGGCCCTCTTCAATTCCTCATGCTTTTGGCGTAACACCAGCTTGTGATTGATGTCGATGAAGAGACGTTCCCAGATTCCGATTCGCTCCTCGTGCAAAATTCGCGCACCCTCTTTTGCGTTATCCCGGGTCCAAACCCAGTGATTCTCGGCTTGTTCCAGAAGGCAGAGGTCGGCTTCGAACGGCACCTGATGGACAACAAGTGTGTGTCCCTTGTGGGATTCGAGGTCCATAGTATGGCCGCCGTGGACGGATGATACGGTGCCCGTGAGCGTTTCGTATGACGATGCAATAGGAGTCTTGGGGTATGGGTCGACGATCTTAAGTGGCTCTGTACTCTTCTCGAGTCTAAATCCATTTTTCATCAAGGCTGCGCATTCCCACACCCCAACGTCATCGAGACCTTTGCCGTCGTAGAGATATCGGATGCGTACAGAGGGATGAATGAGCTGGTTAGGATTCACGAGCCTATTTTTCCCATCGTCGGTCTTGTATAAGCCCGGAGTACGTGTGCCCAAGACGGTGTTATCTCCCTTCAACTTTTGCCACGGGTACCAAATGGCGTTGTATGCTTCGTCAGGGATCGAAGTGGCCTTCCCGGGATTGGAAATTTTTCCCATTGCCCATGGTCGAGGTTCGACACCAGGGGTGAGGGTGTAGAAAAGCCGCTTCATCTCAGGCGTGCTGAACTCAACACCGACAGAGGTAAGCTGGTCCGCCATCCCTATTTTATGCTGTTAGCTGACATCCGCGACGGTATATTTCAGTCATTAGAAGACGGGAGACCTTACAAGCAAGTGCAATAGTGGCGATTTGTTGGTCTTCGAAGCCTCCTCCGACGTTACTGTGGCTGCCAGGAAACCATACCTGTCGAAGCTGCGTGTGTGTATTATTGTCCTTGCCCCACAATGTCGGTTTGAATGCGGTGCGCCATTCGTCCAGTGCGAGAGCATGGAAGGCATAGTCCACTTTGGGATTGACGTCGAGGCTTGCAAATCGAAGCTGATTGTGTCAGTCGTGTTTCTCAGGAAAGGAATTGATCCAGTTTTTTTGACTACTAATGAAAGCTTGAACTCACCTCATCAGCGCTGCGGCCTATGCGGACCTTCTCCCAGGGCATTTTTGGCCAACCTAGACTTCCAACAGTATCCCATACAGCTGAGTTAAGGGCAATCAGACTGGGTTTCTCTTTCTTTGCGGCGTATAGGATTTGAAGACTGACCAACTGCTCTAACATTGACGTCCGTAGGGACCGGGAAGAGGCCCAATTGGCCATCTCGGAATTGAGTCTCCCACTTGGTAAGAACCATGCCGTGCTGGTGAAAACAATGGTCAGTGAATTGATTCCCAGACCAAGGTGACAGCTTTCTTCTTACCTTTTCAAGTCTGTTTCTGTATTCCTTAGCCATCTTGCGGAGATCCATTGGTCCATAGCCCTTCCTGTTTTCACGATATGTGGTCATTTTCTCGAAGAATTCTCTTTTATCCTCGTTCAACTCGTCTTCTAAAGCAGCACTCTCACGTTCCTCGACCTTGTCGTTCTCAGAAGCTTTTTGTTTCTTACGGCGCATGAAATTGGTAAGCGTAAAGCCTACCAAATGCTCGTCTTTGTCAAAGCTC